AAAAAAAAAAAGAATGGGTAAGGGAATACTACTGGCTCCTTATCTGCTGGTAGCAAGGAGCCTTGTGCCACAAGGCTTAATGGACTCAATTAACAGAAAGGGTGTCAGGTCAAACCCATCAGCCACATCATGGGAGAAAGAGGTTACAGTCTTTAGTAAAGATTTAAGCTTTGAAACTCCTAAGGGATTGTTATACTCTGTCTGACAAGCTTACTGAGAATCAGAACCAAGTTGACAGTTGTGGAATTGGTTTGGTTGGTATCTGCTATTGGCAGGGCTGGCCATACCCTCCGCCTTCAATGATAATACATCCTCATTCACTCACTCAACAAATATTTATAGATTAATAGAGCCCAGTGGTAAAAAAACACTGTCCTTATCTTTGAGGTTCTCAAAGTGCTTTACTTAGTTGCTCTTACCTTTACTCATTTTTTTTCAGTACACTGACATTTTACAGTTAAGGTCCCAGCTGTTCGTGCATGTTAATGACTTGCACAAGTATGCTCCAATACTGGCTTATTTTTCACCTGCCAGCACCGCATCACAATGTTCCACTGCTATTCTTAAAGTTCTCAATGGCCAGTTGTTTGTGGGTTTTTTCCCCCTAAACAGATTGCCAGGTTTCTTCTCAGTCAGGAAACTGAAAGATCTCGCTGGTATTTGAAACATCTGCTGTGTAAGTTCCAGCATCACAGCAACATCCAAGTCACCACCCCACTGCCAGGTGAGTGGTGGCTAGGAGCAGTAAACTGACTGTCTCTAGTCAGTCTATTCGAGGATTAAATTAATCCTATGCCTACCATAAGGGAGCACTGGTGGCCTTGTGGGTAAGGAGGAGTCGTGCTCCTAACCCGAAGTCCCATGGTTCAAATCTACCAGCTTCTCTGAGGGAGATCTCCTCCCTTATGATTCTGAAAAATGAGTTGAGGGTCAACTCTTGAGTCAGTTCTCAGCATTTAACATGCTTACCACCATAATACATAGTATTGATTCTAAAAATGCTTATAAATTAAAAAGCATCTGTAGATATAAGCAGAAATAAAAAGACAAAGGTGCTTTACCTTTTCAGTAATAATGCGGTTGACACAATGTTTTCCTGTCAGAGGTAATGTACACTTCTCCATGATTTTATGTGCATTCCCCTGTTTAAAAGAAGAAAGATCACAGAGACGAGTTAGAGACACTTCTTAGGACTGGAATAGTTACAGGAAAACCAGAAACTGTTAGAGCGCTTGTCCAAGCGATTTCAAGATCTTTTCACAGTCAGGCTCTTCCTTTCTTTCTGGAGGCAGCCCAGTCTAGACACGATTTAGGGGAAATGCCAAATTAATCGCCAGAAGCATAAATGATTCAGGCCGCAAACACCCAGCTAGAAATGTGACCTCTCAAGCCTCGGCAGTTCGATAAGCTGACGGGCACCTTTCCTCTCAACACCTTGCTTATTTTCTCTTCGCTAATTAGTCACTCTGACAAAACTGAGTTGCTGTTTGCAAGGATAGGAAGCATATACACATAAATAATTTCTCTTTTTAGAAAAAAACAAATTTGAAGTTAATTTTAACTGCTAAAGAAAATAATATGTGCAAAAAGAATGGCAGTAACCTCCAGCTGCCTCACCCTCAGTATGTCCACTTTCTTTTCTTTTAGCATTTTCCCATTGTTGTTGTTTTTGTTATATGCCACTGACTCATAGCAACCCTATGAACAAAAGATCTGAACCCACTCCTGTCCTGTGCCATCCTCACACTTCCTGACACACAAGAGGCCAATGCAGCTGTCACCATGTCAGTCCACCTGGTTGAGGGTCTTCCTCTCCTTCACCGACCCTTCACTCTTCCAAGCATCATGTCCTTCTCCAAGGAATAGCCCCTCCTCGCAACATGCCCAAAGTCTCATCATTCCTGCCTCCAAAGAACAATCCAGCTGCATCCTCTCCAAGACATAGCTGTTCAATTTCCCCCTAGACGTCTCCGTATCTTCTTATTTCTGTATTCTAAAATATCACATGTAGTATGCATTTACTTCTTGTCTAATCAATTTCAAACACTATACACTAATTTCTTGTTATGGTAGACAAGGATATCCCTGTGTTATACACATTCACTTGCTGTTCTCCTTTGTCATCATTCATTCTCCCAGTGTAACTGTCACAATTTCCCATTTATTCAATAATCAGAGTTTATATCAGCCTGATTACCGTGCAGTATAACATCCATGATTAACTCATGCTTTTGTCCATCTATTTGCTTTACTTTGAATATGTTTACTCTTTAGTAAAACTGAGTGAACTAGCTTAAATTCACACCTTTTTCTCCAAAATTTACTTTTCTTAGCTACCATGCTTTTTATTCAAACATAAATTACATGGAGGATTAACAGTAGAAGTTTGATTGTCACTCATTAACCCACACATTCTGTGTTTATCTCTAGAATTCAAAATACTATGCTTCTCATGTAATTTCTTGGTTGCCCAATTTTTTTTTGCTGCAAATAATCCAAAAACTTTTGGAACAATATGCCAACAGAGAACTGCCAGATGTGCAGGCTGGATTTAGAAGAGGTCGTGGTACTAGGGATATTATAGTTAATGTTAGATGGATCTTGGCAGAAAGCAGAGAATACCAGAAGAATGTCTATCTGTGCTTCATTGACTATGCAAAGGCTTTTGACTGTGTGGATCACAACAAGCTATGGATGGCTCTGAGAAGAATGGGAATCCCAGAACATTTGATTGTGCTAATGCGAGACCTATACTTGGACCAAGAGGCAGTCATCAGAACAGAGCAAGGAGACACTACAGGATTCAAAATCAAGAAAGAGGTCCATCAGGGATATATTCTGTCTCTATACCTTTTCAATATGTATGCAGAACAGATCATCCAAGATGCTGGGCTGTATTAGGAAGAACGTGACATCAAGATTGGTGGAAGAATCATCAACAACCTGCGTTATGCGGATGACACAACCCTGCTTGCTGAAACTGAGGAGGACCTGAAGTGCTTGCTGCAGAAGGTCAAGGACTGCAGCCTTCAATATGGATTGAAGCTCAACATCAAGAAAACAAAGATTCTCACCACTGGGCCAATTGGTAGCATCAGTATGGATGGTGAAGAGATTGAGATAGTTAACAGTTTTAGTGTGCTTGGGTCCACAGTCAACACTCTTGGTAACAGCAGCCAGGAAATTAGGAGTTGAATTACACTGGGGAAAGTCAGCTTTGAGGGACCTCTCAAGAGTACTAAAGAGAAACTATGTCAGGCTAGAGACTAAGGTGCCCCTGATCCAGGCTATACATCGGAGAGTTGGACAGTGACTAGGGATGACAGAAAGAGAATTGATGCCTTTGAGCTGTGGTGCTGGAGAAGAGTGTTGAATATACCATGGACGGCTAGGAGAACAAACAGGTTTGTCCTGGAGAGGGTGAAGCCGGCATGCTCCTTGGAGTCAAGGATTCTGAAGCTTTGTCTGACATAATTTGGGCGTGTTGCAAGGAGGGACTGGTCCTTGGAGAGGGACATCATGTTTGGGAGAGTGGAGGGACGGTGCAGAAGAGGAAGACCCTCAATGAGATGGATCGATTCTGTGAGTGGAGTGATGGAAATGAGTGTGTCTAAGACAGCGAGGTTGGCACAGGATAGAGCGGCGTTTAGGGTTTGTGTACATAGGGTCACTATGAGTTGCAAGCAACTCGATGACACACAACAACAACAACCACAACCAATTTTACACTGTTAAGTAATTTCTGATTGTGGCAGATGAAGATTTAGCTCTCTTACCTAATGTTGGTATCCTTCACCATCTTTACTGTGTGAGCTCCCTGTACCACTTCCTCCAAAATCCTCCAGCCAAGAAGCAGCTACAGTGGCTTTTCTGTGAATACAGCTGCCTCCAGTAAATGGACTTTTATATAGCTTTCTTCTAGTTATGATTAAGCTTCTCCCCAAATATCCAGTACCAGGAGACTAATATTCTTTTCTTCAACATGACAAAAATGTTTCTATTGCTTCATTTTGGATCTAAAAGCATCACACATGATGTCACCACCATCTAACGTCATCTCAGTGTTTTACCTGGTTTATAACTATCCCTCAACTAGGTGTCTGATCAGTAAATGACTGGAGGCAAGGGTTTTTATATAGGAGTCTTGGTGGCATAATGGATTATACGATGTGCTGTTAATCAAAAGGTAGGTAGTTCCAATCCAGCAGGCATTCCACAGAAGAAAAAAGGAAACTGTCTGCTCTTGTAAAGATATCCAGCTTATCTAATATCCAATGGAAGGTTTTCTTGAGTCATAGTTCAATCAATGGCAGTGGGTTTGGGTTCAAGTAAGATTTTATTCCTTGATATTATTTATCTACCTAAAAAGACACACAAATATGTGATTAGTTTAGTGTTTAAGACAAAAGATATTCAGTAAATAATTCTCAATGAGAAAATGCCACATATAGGAATGAATGGACAAAGAATGGTAAGAAAAGGGCGAGTCTAATTGGTCTTTTGGATAGACTTCAATGGAAAAGACAAACTTTATTAATTCAATTCAATCCAATCCAAATTAATAGTGAACACACATACCATGGAGAGACAGGACACATTTAATAACAAGCTAGATGCTTCTGGATCTCACTGTACAACAAAATCCATAGCTGGAGAAAGAAAACCTCTTCTTCATTTCTAATTAACTAGTTTCCTTTCAAGATTTCAAAGAAACGTTGGCCACACGCACTAAATTAAACTGTTAAATTAATGATGAATAATCAAGCTTGTACAGATGGAAACCCTTCTCTTGTACCTTCACATGAGGTGTGTCACAGCAAACTAGTATCTGGTGGTGAACAACAGAACAATATGTGAACCTCTGAAGAGCATTTTCTTGCAGGGAACTCTTAACTTGACTCTCATTTATTTGGGCAAGATCTACATCTGATGTGAAAAGCAATCACTTGATCTTTAATGAATAGCCGACTCTGTTTCAGGAAGAATCATGAATCTCAACTGACAGGCTGATGGTGCTCTACTAGAAAACTGTCAAAGATCATGGTCAGGAGACAGAGTAGAGCCTACATACAGGGACTGTGAGAGGTGTCTCATAAACTACAGTCAGTATAAACATGACAGCACAGTGGGTAAGGGCATGGGTGCAAGGGCCAAATGACCTGGTACAACACTGAGTTGTCATTAAGCTGTCATATCATGCAGGGTGGGGCTCCTGTCCTCACCATGTTCTAACCTCACAGTGTTATCATAGGGTTCACAGGTGATACAAGTAAAGTGCCTAGCACTAGAATGGGCTCAACAAATGTTCTCTTGGATTATTTATACCATCACCTGCCTGACAGTTTGTTCATATCAGGATGGGTTCAGTGTTGTTATGTTAGAAACTCTGCCCCCAACATTTTGAATATCCACTCATGGTGGATAGGTTTCACTGAGCCTTTCAGACTAAGGCAGACTAAAAGAAAGGCTTGATAATCTACTGAAAATTAACCCATAAGAACTGTACAGATCAAAGAGCTGCACCTCACACTGAAATGTTCCCACCTACGTCCACGTGGCATTTACAACAGCAAAGAGATGGAAATGACCAAATGTCCAATAATGGCTAAATAGCTAAAGAAACTGTGATTCATTCACACAGTGAAGTGTCATGTATCACTAAAGAAGAACTAAGAATTTGTGAAATACTGCACAATAGGGATGAAACTAGAACGAATTATGCTGAGGGACATCAAGTCAGTCACAAAAGGTCAACTGTGTAAGACCACTAACATAAAAAGCTAAGGGAAAATTTACACAGAGAATCAATTTTGGAGGGTTAACTGGGATGAGAGAGAGAGGAGTGCAAAAATAAACAAACAGGCAATTCAGGGAAGGGAAAGGTAAAATACAATAAGGGTTAGACAAGACACTGTCCTTAATGTTACAAAACAAAATGCACATGAATGAATGGAAACTAATACAACCGGTTCTCCGGGTTCATCTTTCACTCAAATAAAAAAGGGGGGAAACTCGATAGATAACAAACACTGTCCCATGTAGCGCTGTTACTCTGACAAACCTGAGTTACTTTTTTGGAAGGTACTCAAAGCACACAGTGGCTATAGCAGTGGATACAAGGATATCAGTGCTTGTGAAGAAG